TGTCATCATAGAGACTTTCTCGGAGGATCTAAATACGATAGATTGGTGCTTCTTGATGTGGCATGTCCAGGCTTTTGCTTCTGATTATAAAAGTTTCTAAGTCCGGAAGAATCCTGAACGAAGATGAGAGATGCATTCTCTGTTCTTCCTAGTTTCATTACGCTCTCGTTAAATTATCGCGGTGTACATTCCATTGTCGTTAATTATTCCTAATAATGTTAATTGTGACCAGGGTTTTACGCCTTCTTTGTCTTCACATTTTCCACATTTTTTTCGTCACTCAGAATTCGGGTCTCTTCCGAAGAGAATTGACACGAGGATTCGCCATGTTTCTTTATCAAAAAAGCTTTCTAACTTTGTGAGTATGTGATTTACCTCACAACAGTTAACGATTCAATTTTGAGAGAAAAAACATTGGAGATATTATTTTGTTATGCAATTCTCCAACCGTTGCACTAGGAGGAAAGATTACTGATAAAGACTCAAACCATAAGTGGAAACGTTCAAAGTCAAGGTTTATATTTTTAATATTAAGAAGAATTGCGCTAATTGATAACCAGCGTTGAGACTCCTATTGCCTGTACTGTATGTTATATGTTTTTTCTAAATTGTTTTTCTTTATCAAAAGCCTGGAATGTCACCACTTGATGGCAGAGTTTAAAGAGTGCTTTCCTCGGATGTGACACTGAGCTAGCTGAGCGTAAGGGTTTAATCAATGATACAATGTCAAGGGTCAATAAATAGAACAGTAAAACTTTCCGGAGAGCAACTCTCGTTGCCGCGAAATTCATCGTTTGCCTTCAGCGATAACTGAGTTGTACGTAAGTAAAGATACCCTGTCGCGGAGAACTGACCGGGGAAAAATCGAGGCGAGCAGAACTCCCAGCAGGATTAGTAGCCGAGGAGGTCCACTTATTTATTTATTTTCGCTATATCTGTCTGCGATCCCTTAAATAAGCGTAGTACGATTTTTAAGACGCAAAATTTCTATTTTAGCTCATAACGAGGAGTGAATTGAGGGCGGGCTTTTGATTTTGGTTCGCGTTCACCGAGTCGAGTCCCTTTTCTTTTGCGTCCGCAAATCGGTGGAATGAAAAAAGAAAGAAGCAAGACGCGACCAACCCTCGCCTACTGGAGTATTATAGGAATCATTAATATATTATCATTCATTAGTTATCGCATGTAATAGTAATAGTGATAATAATAATAATAATATCGGCAACAGTAATAACTAGTAATGTAATCTAATTTAATGTATATTATATATTTATTAATTAAGTTTGAGAACACGGTTACTATACCGTTTTTTCTATTTTCGGCAAGCTGGCGGCTCGACTTTCGGTTGAGATTGTCTGACTTCCTGTGCACCGATTGATCGATGTTTTCTATTATAACACGTAAAAAATTTCAATACGTCACGTCGATTTTTTTGCTCGTATTACTCGGAACGGCCTTACAAATCGGCGAGGATAAAAAAAAGTAGTCGAATGTTCTTTTTTTTATTTTCCCGTTTATTTTATCTCGAATTTATTGTCTCTCGGTTCGCGCAGTTTCATAAAGTTTAGAGTAAGGTCTGGAGACGAATAAATAAAACGAGGAATTTTTATATAGTTGAGTAAATTAAAATCAAGAAGAATTAAGCCACCCATCCAGACGTACAAAAAAGTCGCGATACGTCTGGTATCGAATTCAATATGCTGATTCCCTCTTAATGAGAGACATAAATAAAAAAAAGAACGTATCTTTGTTCTCCTTGAGTTCGCTACAACTTCTTCTCTTCACGTGATAGACACGTGTATAGATACGGTAAAACGGGACGAGATAATTTCGGGCGTGACTCGTTTCTTTCGCTTAAGCACATATACACCGATCCATTTTTCTAGATAAGAGCAGCAAGGACGGTAGTGAGAGTACAATGTAGAATAGCATCGGGCTCCCCCCCGCATGGCTTTTTCTCTCCTTTCCTTTTTTTCTTAATGTATGTAGCGAGATGCTATTGTCCTCCTCGTATTCCGCCAGAAATGACAATACAATAAAACGAGGCGCCTTTGTCCGAGTTACAATTAATTAAGCGTTTCGTGATGATCATTCTCGGATCCAGCGGGCGTCGCGGGTATATATTTCAAGATTTATTCTTCGCATAATAACAAGAAATGTTTCTTTTTGGTGCTTTCCACCAAGCGACACAGCGTGACACAAAGTAATCATCTTCGTTTAACAAGGATGGACATTGGCAACAAGGATGTAATGATTCACTGTGATACACTTGTGTTATCTGTGCCTCTTGCTGGAAAGCATCCTTAGGGTGGTATTCATAGTCGGATCTCATATTTAATACCGTCTTAAGTACAGTTTTTAGACATCACGAACCAATCGGAGAGCCGTATTAGCATCTCAAGACATTACTTAAGACGGTCATAAAATAAGAACCGACTATGAATACCGGCCTTAGTATCTCTCTCGCGCGACGAAGATCGAATCGTGAACCACGGTTACGACGGTTACGACTTGATGGATCGATCGCCGAGAATGTGATAAGAAACGCGAGTTCTCGCGACGCTCGGTGCAACCGTGTGCAATCGTGAAAAGAAATCAAAATTCCACATCGACTTCCGAAAATGTGTATACTTAGCCACGTAATGCACCCCGAGACACCATCGTAACGAAACTTCCAACTGTCTATAAGTACATCCTAAGAGATGCGTTATTCTTGCTGAAGGGAAAAAAAGAAACTTTTTTACAAAGCGGAAACTCGAAAATTATACAGTTCGACGATGCCAAAATAGTATTAAATAATTAAGCGAGGCGTTTGTAATAACAATAATCAATGTTATCACGAAAAGCGAAATAATGAACTGTCCGAAATACAGGCTGATGTACGCAACGACGACGGTGGTACTTCAACAACGGTGATATTTCCCGTTAGCTTGCGCAAATCTGTCAAAATAAAGCTAAATATTTCTTTCAAATATAGAATTATGTCTTAATGAAATTTGTTTAATAAATCGCTAAACGAGATACTTGCGCGATTCTTCAACGAGTTGTTGCGTAGATCCCTGTATAAGGAAGAAAAAGAAAACCCGAAATCTGATCCATAAAGGGATTAATTAGCGAAAAAGAGGAGGGAGGGGGAGAGGCGGATTAAGAAAGAGATAAACGTTGAAGAGTGTATTTTTTCTTCCAATGCCAAAAAGATGCCATTTTGTTTTGTACGAAAAAACTAGCGAGAAAATCCAGAAAAAAAAACAGAGAAAACGAACGTAGCGAGTGAAGAAGGACGAACGAAAGTGCGAGAGCAAATTTTTTAAATAGTTCGTAGCATGCGTATGGATGTGTAACAATAAAGAAGCAAAAAGAAAAAAAACAAAGCGAAACGAAGCAGACAAGTCGGTGTATATGTCCCGCGAAATCCGCTTACACGCCTTATAATCTATCAATTATCGGGGAAACGGAGTGCTATTGTCGATCGCGAACAAACGCAAATTGGTGAATGAAAGTGGCTATCGTTCATTAAATTCAGGGCTAACACCGGTTAACATTGATCCGCGTGATCACGACCGAATGTTAATAACTTTCCTTTGCGCGATTATGGATATCGCTCAATGGTAAAGAAGCGGGAGAAAAAAAGAAACGCATGATGATTTAGTAAATCGGTTTGTTGGTGGAATCTGTGGCCCGAATTCGTAAAGATGTACGCTGTAAGGATGTAGCGTTACGTATACACCGACCGTATATATGTATATATATTTTTGGATAAAACCATGAAGAAATTTTAAATCGAAATTTGGGCGGGGACGCGCGAGAATGTGATTATCTCTCGGCGCGGATTCGTAGTTTCTCACGAAATTGGCGAGACACGTTCTTCCCGAGAGCGAGAATGAGAGTAAGCATGAGAGAGAAAGAATGAGAGAGTGAAAGAGAGAATGAAAGATAGTCTCGAGAGAGCTTTCACGCACGTCGTCGCTCCTCTAAATGTATTTATGAATATTTATTTACGCGAAGAATGGAAGAAAATTTAATATATTGACGATTAAAGAAGTGGTCGTAAGTTATAAGTGTAAGTTTTCTAAGAGCCATAACTTGTAAAGCACTTTTGCGCGCATTAACCGCGACACAAAGTTCTCGAAACGATGAAGATAGAAGACAGCTGAAAGCAATGGTATAAAAAAGACTCATTACACGGGCGAAAAAATAAACAAGGGGCAGTTTCAAGTTAATAATAAATTTCGTTCAGGATGCGTGGATGTGTCCATCTTAAGATTGAAGTATGCTTAGAATACAGTAGTGAGTATATGATACATATAAGTAATAAAAAATAATTGATTTTAGCTATCGATGACTATTATCAACGTAAGAGTACATTTAGACAAAGATATGTGGTAAGACAGATGTAATTGTCCTTTGTGAATATACATAAGAGAGAAATGAAAAATACAAAAAACTTTTATGAATACAACTGCTTTCATTTTTATTTTAGGATAATTTTCCTGTAATATAGACTGTAATCAATTATACAATATTAAGTGCTTTCCAACAAGAAACAGAGTGTGACACAGTATAAGAAACAGAGTTCTTTCCATTTGGATACAAATATTATTCTTTTTTTAGCATTCAATCACGAGTAACGACACTTGTATTGACTTCATTCCAATATATGTTATCCGTTCCTTAGTTTTTCATTTTAATGCTAGTTAGTATGCGTACTTTCAGCAAATACATTGCATCAGTAAAGTACACCTGTATTGACTTGTGTCACCAAATATAAAGCATTCCAATGTGAATCATTACATTATATTTATAATGCCAATGTTAAAAAGATGAAATGAGTCACCGTGTTACACTGTGTCCTCTATGTTTCTTGCTAAAGACTCGAACAGATTTATTATAATTTTATATTAAAATATTGTTTGATGCATTCACTGCAAAAATATCGTACGCAGTGTAGTCAAAATGCAATGAAATATATATTTAAATTATTTCAATTCTTATATTTATCGTTATTTTATATTATATATTTATGAGCTTACTTTTAGTAAAAAAAAAATCAATTTTTATTCGAGTCGACAAATAACAGAGGTGGCTGCTCTGGTTGCGAGATGTTGGATTTCTCAGATTCCTTTTTTAATTCGAATATTATATGCCTGATTGCTGGCATCCAAGTACGACAAACAGTTGCATGTTGCATCATAAGAGTAACATGGATTTTGTCGGCTTCCTTGACATCTTTCCTTAGCAGCGCTGAAAAAAATATATACAGCTCTCTATAAATGTATACAATAAATATATTTATCGTGCTGATGTCGATACATAATATTAACATATGGATGTTACGTAAGGATTTTATCATTACCTTTCGATATATTCAAGATATTTCTCTGTACTGTATCATTCAGTTTGTTTTCGAGCCAATTAGATTTCATGGTATCTAATCGTTTTCGCATTTCCTTCACCTTGTTCTCTTCCATCTTCTGCTCCATCATCACAGATTCTAAACTGGTCAAAATTTCTGTCAAAGCTTGATCTTTATCGAAATTATCATCAGATTCTATTGTCTTTGCATAGTCCTTATCGGTAGGAGCCAGAAGAGGTTTGTGGGGAGCCGTGGTTATCGTGGGAACTGTGGTAGACTGTAAAGTAGGAGGCATATTCAATGATGCAGGCAAAACAGTAGCCTTCTCTGGAGAAGGAGTTTGCGAAGATAGTGGGAATGCCACTCGCTTGTTCAGGAGTCTCCTGGTGGATGTCCCTGATGAATTATCTTGCGAGGACAATGCCCACTCCGGTGGATCATTCCATCCGGAATCGTGAGTGGACGGTAATGATCTCTGACTAGAAACTACGTCGCTCGACGAGGACGAGGTGGGAATTTCTTCCATTCCCACGCTTATAGGTTAGGTTCAACATCTGGCAAAAAAAAAATGTGAAGTCAACAATTTCGTATAAATCAATTTTATCTCTAATATGTATACGTACGGAAGAACATTATTGCAGCTGAATTTCTCGATGTCGATCGTTTCACGATTCTTCTTTCGTTCATCAGTCTTGTCAGTAAACACCAAGATTCGTCAAACTTCAGCGATGATATACATGGTGACGCACTTTCACTGAGTCGATGGTCCTACTTTAAGCAATATTATGCCATACGCTAGTATTAAGAAAAAAATTCTCATGCAGTTGTCCGATACTTGTTTGTTTTTTTCCTTTTTCTTAATCGTTCTTTATTATGACATAACGAAACACCTCGCGCACGTGTCTGGTCTGGAGCTGCTGCCAGCTGCCGTCAGCCGTCCTCAAGTATCAACACGAAATTATAATCATACGAGACGGACATCACACTTCGCGTTTGCAACGAGATAATCTTTTTAGATGTCTATTAATTTCTTGACGCGATAATTCTTTTTTCCTACGTCAATTACGGACCTAATTCGATCGCTCGATAATATTTCATAATTGTTAAATATAAAGAAAATCTTTTTTAACTCCCAATTGTGGACGTGGAATCCTTTGCGACTCCTCTGTCACTTATTTTGTAATGTAAACTAATTATGTTCTTTATAGAAAAAGAACTTTTCTATATAGACAGAGAATTGAAGAAACAATTGTTTCATTTTCTTCATATTTAAAAATAGAAGTCCTTAGCACAATTCCTTAGTATAGATTTCCTAGCCATCAATGCGTACAACATTTGAGACGTAATGAGACTTTTTTATAATGTAATTATAATGCTAAAAAGATACATATACAGAGAATTGTATGAAAAACAATTATTTCTTTTTATTTTATATTCATAAATAGAAGTCCTTAGACTTTCTGCATCCATTATATGTATAATAAAATGTTTGTGATAAACGATCAACGAGCATGATTTGCAAAACTCATAGCTGAAGATTTTCCAGAGATCTTTCAGAGTTTCCGACTTTCCGTTAAAAAACGAAACTTATATAATTAAAGAGAAATAAAATACGTGTACCAGATTGTATCAGATGCTGATAAATTTATTATAAATTCAACTATTATTCGACACGAGCAATTTTTTTTTTCCTAAAAAATTAATGACTTGTTTTTCGACATAATTTCTCGTTTCTTGCATAAGGCTGTTCGAATTGGCTCGAAAAAATAACTCGTATAAATAAAATTACTTGAGCTTAGTTGCGCATATACGTGAGATCATTCGGGGTCACCATTAATTATTCATGATACGCCACACAATAGATCCAAGTCGACGCTTTGAGTAAAGAGGTATTTAGTAACCTATCGTATTCCGTTATATTTTATATCCGTCTAAAGTTCTAATCGCAGTGCTTAAAGAGCTTCGAAACTTGGGAGTTGTCGAAATCGTGCTGAATTTCTTGACGCTCGGTTAAAGTGTTTTGTTCACATTTATTTATAAAAATCGCTGTAAAAAACTGGAAGCATTTATTAATGGAATGACGTTGTCCAGTTCTTCGGATCTTTCTTCATCATAAAATATATAGATAACGACCGCATCGCGTATAACATTTATTCTTTATACGCGGCAGAAACGACTTCTGCATTAAACAATCTGTGTTTGTGCGATGATAAATATAATTAAGCTTCAGCTCGATTCGAGGACGTCTTATTCAGGATCATCAAACATGGTAAGTTTCTCACACGATCAGTCACAGTTTCACGCAACGCTAGCAACTGTTTATTAAGTGAATAATCCGTCGTGTGTTAACACGCAATCCGCTAATGAGACCCGACGAGTGAAGTACTGACTGCGTTCAGCAGAAAAAACCGCTCATCACTGAACAAAAAGGTATTAATATATGATTGATATGTTTATTTATTATAATTCGTAATGTAGAATAACTCTCTTTTGTTTATTATAGATAATCTTTAATATCATATATTTCTTGTTTATTATTTCTCTAATACCGTGTTTGAGCCATAAGGTTATGTAGCGCTCAGTGATCAGTGAAGCGACTTATAATTTATATAATAGCAAGTAATTTTTCAACCATTTTGTCAGTGTTTAATGGATCCGCGCGATTCTTTCTTCGCTCGCAAACCTGTGCACTGTGCCTCGAAATTTGATATACGCTATTCATTCTCATTGTCGACACGGCATCGGCATTTCTCGTACCGATTTCATATGCTATCAAATTTAAAACGTGTTGAAATTGAAGCAACTGCGATTTCGATTTCCGGTGTCACGTACATCGTATTCTGATTGGCGTGTGATTAATATATCAATGGTAAAATGGTATAAAAGACTTCTTGTGGTAGAAAAAGGATTCGTATTGTCACATAATTCGTATAAAAGGCTGTTTATACAAAAAAATTTTGAAAACACACCATTGGAATACATCAATTAGTGCCCGTTTCTATCAATATAAATTAATTTTAATCTCACCCAAAGAGAACAAAAAGATCAAACCGCTGGAATGGTTTCCTCATAAGAATATATTCGAATTCCCATTTATTATTTTATTGTTCACCAAATATTAAACAAAGATAAAATGATATTGGTCTTATTAACGTCACGCACAGGTTGCAGCCTTCCAGATAGTGCGGTTTCTAGTTATATCATATATCGTGATAACTATACATATATCTGGAGACACGGTAGTGTCTCGGCGCTAAACATGACGTGAGACACTGCTGTGTCTCTTTTACGCAAACCGGCAAGTTGCATCAAATCGAGATTATCGGATCTCAATAACGGCTGTCCCGATTGAGTTTGAAGTACACTTAATCGATAGTATATATATAATTATTATATTGATAGAAATTTTATTTAGGCCATATTACACAAGCTTATCGAGTTTAGTGATATTTAAAGAGTTGTAATGGAAATTTAAATCACAAAATGGCGGGG